ACCAAATTAAAGAATGTACACTACCAAAATCTTCCAAAAAAGTTTTCAAATGTTACCGTTCCCATATGATCGATACTTGTATGCTCTCCCGCAAAAAACAGTCGCAAAAAACCGTCACCATCTTCTAATGGAGCAGCAAGCTTGTCGGGTTCATCCCCTAAAATGACGAACATCTGATTCGTAAAAGAAAACTAAGAAGCTCAAATATGAAAAGGACGGTGATTTTTCTCATCAACCGGTCTTCAAACCAAAAAGTCTAAACCAAGCCCAACTGGCGCTAAATAACAGTGCTGTACCAATCAATACAGGCCAAGACATTTGGTTACTGTATCCATAAAAAAAACTTATTAACGCAGGAAGGAATGTCAGCATCACGGTTGACTTCGCATGACAAAACAAAAAAATAAGAAGGAACCTCTGCAATTCGTAGTATAGTAAGCATTAGCGCCGAGAGTGTACGAATCAGTACCCCATCTTGTCACCACTGCGTCTTTAGGCTATCAAATAACAAAAAATAAATAGCATTTTCATCGGTAAACCAAAAGAAATTTAAAATAAACATTTAAAACTGATTTGTTCAAAGAGATTTTAGACAGCCCTATAATATTTGGTCAAGACTCCAAACATGTAAATGATTTAATTCATATAAAATAACAAGAATCTCTTCTAAATTTGTAAGAAATAAACTCAGGTTAGGAAGAAAATTCAAAACAATGTAAGAACAACGCTCCCTTCATATTACACTACAAGAAACGAAAGTCTAAAAATTGACTTACTTCTTTAGGGCAATCATCTCCAAATAGCTTTTTCAATAAAGACATTGCATCTTCAACAATAGTATCGGGGTTACCAATTTTATCGGCCTTATAAGCAGCTTCCCCAGAAATCATGCCAATTAAAACAGGAACTTCATAAGGAGCATAGAAAAGATGGAAATAGCCGCGACTAAAACCAAAAACCACTTGTCTGCAGATAACTGGCAAACAATCAAGAGTTTTTTCTTCAAGCAATTTATCCTTCATTAATAGATTTAATATAACGAGTGGCGAGAACAGGTAGAACGCTTCAAAAGCAAAAAGCTAAAGCATACCTTTCATCACTAACCCGACCAAAAATAGGATATTTCCAGAACTTTTTTTCAAATATCAGTATTACCTACAAAACAGCTATTCAACTTCAAAAAAGTCGCAGAAAATGAAAATTTTTTGACAAAAACTACTTATCGAAGAGCCTTACTTTGCAAATATTTCCAAAACCCAATGCAGATATTGCATGAGTTTTCCATTCAGGTAATGGTGGATCAAAAAGTAACGGCTTACGACCATGAAGAGCAGCTTTAAACACGCCTAACGGCAAAGTACAAAGACAGGCGTCTCCCACAATTTCGCACAACTCCTTTTTGTAGTTGTTCTGATGTTCAAATCTCACTTTGACGCCTGAAGTTCCATGAACTACAACAGACTAAAGGATAGCTGACTCGAAAGTACTTCAAACATAGACTTTTGGAAATGCTCCAAAATATTTAAAAACGAACGAGTGGAAGCTATCAGCAAAAAAATCATAAACCTAAACCTTCCACTACACCTTCAAAGAAAATACAAGTTTTTGCTTTCTTTAAAATAGTTGCAAAAGGTAAAGGCTACTCATACTAAAAACACTTCTTTCTTACAGGAAAAGGCTCCATGCGAAGTTCTACAGTCGACATTTTTCAAGAAACAAATTTTGAATTTGTTACAAGTTTGGAAGAAAAACCAATTATGTTCCGTGTAAATGCATACTTAAAGTTTCCTCCTAGATTCCTTACCACCGCCTTTGACTATAACCTGGATGTAGATACAAGAGCAGAAATTTGCATTTATTTAATTGTATAAAGAAAATTACGAAATCTTAAGCATTATCAGTTATTCTGACTTCTTACCTACCAAACCATCAATAACCCACATAAATCTGCCTCAATACAAACAGTACGTGAGAAAATATTTACACATAACCGTAAAAATAAAATACTTAGGTGAGGCAGGTTTACTAAAACAGTGAGTGTTACAGCAGCCAGCATCACGAGCTATTCATTAGACCACCAACACAGAAAGTGCACCGAGTCTTTAACTTTTTCGAATGAAATTACAGTTACTAGCCTAGTGAGCATCTTAGCGTTGAGCGTCTCTAATCAAAATTGAGGAAATCTTCCGTTCCCATAGACTCACTAAAGAGCGCAGAGGAAACTGCTAACGGAATGCTAAAAGAAAAGTACGAATAGTCGTACCTCCTAAAAAGCACCACCACTGATGTAAGCTTCCTTGGCTGATGCGATAGAAGACTTATGGATACGCTCGACAAACACCTTGCGATTTCAAATGAACTGTTAAACTTCAGAAAAAGCTCTGACTCTTATTTAGCATCCGGAACCAATGTAGAGCAAAAAACTACTATTTGAAGAAAAAAGTGCTTTGAAAAAATTAGACAAGTAGAACCTCTCAAAAAAACCTGCAAAAATCAACTATGACGCACAAAGATGGGAAAAAATATCCTTCAAGTCCTTTCTCCTTTGAGACTTCGAGAAGAAAAATTAGTGAAACCTCTAGGAAAGAGGATGATGATAGCAGTGACCATAATGAAAACGTCATACTCTAACTCATATACTGTCAGGAGGCAAAGACTACAGTAGTTTTGAAAAAGGCGCTCCAAAAGTAATTGAGAGAAATAAATGAGAACGAACTGAACTCCATTCAATCCGCCCTGACTTTAGACAATTAAATTAACCTTCAAAACTTTTGAGAAGTGTGTTTTGCTACGCATTTTTCAAATAATCATCAACTTCCTTAAATTTGATCTTCTCACAGAGGAAGAATCTTCTGCTCACCAAAGCATTGCTAATGCCTTCATATGAATTTAATTAAACGAATGAAATGCTCGTGTCCAGGCCGCGACATAAGATTATTCATCAAACCCTTTCAAGTTCTTATTTTCAGTTACAAGCAAAGATTTGCTGCGCCAAGAAGTATACTGAACGAAACCTGTTCAGTTCACTGTCTTTATTTTTTGCATTTGGATTCGGAAAAACTTCGTAGAGAAGCAAAATGAATTTCTGAATGGTTTTTTGAAATGCTTCAAATCTCTCATACCATCAGAGCCATAGGCGATAGAGTTCACCACACAATTAGTCTGGATATCCAAATCACTCGCCAAAGCATCAGTTAACGCAGATAAACCTTCTGCCACTAAAAACAGAAACTGCCATAAATACTAAAACCAAACAGACCTTAAAAAAGGTAGCTTAATGCATACATATATACCTCAGCCAGTCCTCAAAACGACTAAAAACTAACAGCAGATGAAAGAACCCGGAAACTGTTTGTTACAATCTAGATGCGAGAGCTTCGAAGAACATAAGTTCAAAGGTGCTCCGACTGCCAACTCCAAACACGCAAGATAAAAATTGAATTTTCTACGATCCGACTGGTTCATGAACACTTCACTGAAAACAAGAGTATTCGAGCATTCTATTTGCAAATCTCCCACTAACAAAAAAAAGAAGTGTATTAACTGACGTGATTCCAGACTTCCGAAGTTTAGAAATATTCATGTCCAATTCATCAAAGCGAGTTTTACACAAATCATATTTCTAAAAAACTTTTCGCTTTTAAAATAATTTGAAATATATAAAAAATAAGAATCAAGAAAGATGCATAAGAGTAAAATACCAAAAAACTGAAGCTAAAAACAAACACTGTTAATAGGTTAAGACTATCCTTGAAATGGCGGAAGCTAAGAAAAGTAGGAAAATATTGAGCAATAAACCTCTATCGTATCTCGAATGTCCTTCTCAAGGCATTTCACAGTAATTTCATATAAGCAGTTCTCTTCTTCATCCAAATTACCCTCAAATTTTGATCGTGCTTTTTCCAGTAAAACCTTTTTTCTTGTTAAAGCTTCTTTCAAAATGACCATCTGTAATATACAAGTTTTCCTCTATAACTTTTATTACAGTATATTACTCAACACAGCAAAAATTTATAAAAAAGTAAAAAAATCTTTTTTTATCTGGAATATTTCAAAAATCCCCTCTAAAAAACGAAAAAATTGATAACTGCCCCTTAAATAAACGAATTCATGACGAAAAATTTAAACAGTAACATTGAAAGAAGAATTGCCAAAGTACATAAGCTTCACAGTTTGAAAAATACTTCACAATAAAGATAAGCACAGAAACTTCATCCCCCGTTAATTAAAAGTACCAGCCAAAATGACTAGTAGAATAACTATAAACAATGAGCAAGTTTAATTGAAACTTACTGCTTCTTCGTTCGTCCTCATTTGTTGTAAATAATCTAGTTCTAACTCACACAGTTCTCGGCGCTTTTGCTGTAGATCGTAATCTTCTTGCCTATCATTCACTAATAATGACAAGGTTAAATTTATAATGGATTAGAAATAAAAGTGGTTTGCCCACCAAGAAGCACTGCATTCCCTTGGTAGAGAATCTAAATCAAGAAGCTTACGAGATATATTTTATTCTTCTAAAATTAAAAATTAAATTTTGAAAAACATCAGTGGGAGAATATCAGCCTAATTTTAAAACTGCCTGTTCAAAGAAGAGAATAAAAAGAAAGAAACAGCTAGAAGGCTAAACCTGTTTTCAAACTTTCAAGGTTATATGAAAGCTAATCTCAAAATGATATTTACAAGTTTGAAAGAAAAGCGTGTCTACAGTTTCATATTGCAATGACAGTCCTTTATGTCCCTCCTTCCGACAGGTCTTAAAAATGTGTTTTGTAGTTACCTGACTGCCAGCTATTCTAATTTCACCCTACGATTTCAAACACCTATTATCTCGCTGAGAAGCTCCCTAAAGAAATCTTACTGTAATAAAGTATCGATGACTTCCTCGAGAGATATTTTATTTGTAGAATGTGCATCTGTACTGCCAATACAGAAAGCGGTCCTTATCAGTTTCGCAAAACATCGTTCCAACATCAGCATTGTTTTGCACGAAAGCTTTAATTACAAAATATTCAGGGAAAACGTTTACTATTTAGTACACTTCGGTTTGTAACTGCAGCTTTGTAATAATTTGACCAGATAATTACCAATAAGTTCTTAATAAAATTATTTCTATCCCCTGCAGATAAACTAAAATACTTACCAATCCTTCTTTAGGGTCATATACTGGTACAAAATTCGCTTTGAAATCTCTAGGCGTCACTTTAACCTGGCTCAAGAGTGTAGTTAATGGATTGCCACCTAAAATTTTCGCATTAAGCCTTAAACTGAGTTAACAATAATCAATATAAACAAGCATCAATAGACAAGAAAACTTACATGTGCCCATAATAAACATGCCGCCGAGCTCGGCAACTGCATCAGTATCTGGCTTTTTGTAAGTTGATATGCGTCCTCCGATCCTTCCCTAAATGACTGCAGATTTGTTGAACAAATTGAAAGCACAATTTTCTGCTAAGCATTAGGCTTTACACAAGACTAGTTCATGCAGAATCACAATACTGCATGACGTCACTCAGACGCAGTAAATAAATACTGAAAGTACAATGCTTTAAGAAGTAATAACAAATCTTTTGAGCTACACAAAAATACATAACAGTAAGGGAAGAAAACTGCCTAACAAATTTGAAACCATAGCTATGTGGAAATCAAATAGTCTTGCTCTGGATATCAAAAATTATTATCTTAACTTAGAATGAATTGCTACACATTGTTACATGAAACACTGTAATCACTCGCGCACTCGACATCTTAAGCATCAAAAGCCCATACAAAAAGCAATAGAAAAGACAACGGTGAAAAGCGCGATATGCTAAACTGCATTCAGCGAAAGACCAAATCCAAGAGATTTTTTATTTTTCTATTAAAAAACCGCAGCCGAAGTTTGAAAAGGTGTGTAGACTGCATAAACTTTCGAAAAGTGAGATGAGTGCGGAAAACTACTCAAAAGCTTAAAGTCCCTTAATTGAACTTCTCCATGCTACATTTTAACCTTTAACATTGCAAAACAATATAATACAAGTCCAAGCATCTTAACTCTAAATAACTGCACCTAACACAACCACTAATGTAAACTTGAATAGAATGTTATGTAAAAACTGTGAATCTGCATCCCCGCCAATCAAAATAGAACAAAAAATAAAAAAATCTTCCTTCTTCAAACCCCCAGAAGTGGTTATCAAAAAAATTTGTGAATAGTCACAAACTTTTATTACTTCCGTAGAAATGTGCAAAAGAAAGAAGATACATATACATACTTTCTAAAACTCTAACCTCTTTATAATAAGAAACCGATCAATAGCTTACTCTGGCTTCAAGAATTCTGGTTTCAATTCCGAAATATCGCAGCTGTCTCGCTGCAGCAATACCGGCTATACCAGCTCCAATTACAAGAACTCGCTTAGACGATCTTTTCAGTAAACCTATAAAGAATTAAAAACAAGACCGAAGAAGAGTAAGCCTCCACTTAAACAATTAAAAATGCGGCTGGCCTTTAACTTCAAAAACGCGCAAGTACTGCGAGACCCTACCTACTGAAATAAAACATGCTTAGGCATAATACTCCACATAAAAAAAAAGGAAAATAACAGCAACAGATACCTTTGTCAAAACTAAAAACGCCATGATTTACGTAACCATATCTTTTCAGGAACAAATGTATACGCAAAGTCAAGTCGTAATCACCTAAAAAAAGATTTTAATCCGTTCGGAAAAAAATCAATTCCCAAACGACCTCACAAATAGATTATGTAGATGGAACGCAAGTCTGACATTGCCGTCGTTTAATATAAATGTAACGAAGGCAAATACCAAAAAGATGAATTCTATAAATACACTAAAATATTAAAATTTATAATTCTGAAAAGATCAAAAAGTATTTAGTTGCAGGTACAAAAAACTATAAAAACGCAATAAACTTACAATCATATGGAGGTGGCAAATGCTCGAAAATACCTTCCGGAGAAAGCTCTACTAAGGGATTAATCTGCCATAACTGCAGCTGAAAAGTACAGTTGCTAAGGGCAAAACTTCCATGAACAGGCTGTAATCGTGTAAGTAGTTTAGCAGAATTTAAGTACTACCAATAAAGATATTACCGCTTTGTTCCTGATGAACAAATAAAGCAAAATCATTTCGCGAGATGCCATAACATCAGGAAAAAATTTTTTTTCATCGCCACAAAGCTCATCATAACGAAGACAAGAATTCTGCGCAGCATTTTTCATTGCTAAAAAGGTTAAAACAGTCAAAACATGCATCAAATTGAAGATTCTAGCCGTCACCTGTCAGAACACAGCACAGGATTTATAAGAAACAAAAAGATATCGATTTAAAAATATGCTGTAATTAGTCGGCAATACCAAAAGCATATGATTTAACAAAATGTTGAAAATTACAAATCTCGTCGTCTTCCCACTGTAATATGTCCATCGATTCGAAGGTACCAATAAGTTTGAGAGCCTCCGCCTTTGTCATCCGCGTTCCTTTCTTGGAAATTAAGTCTGACGAAGACTGCGAAGCATATGTCCCCATTGCATACACCTGAAGGGGAATCGCCAAACTTTAACCGAATCTCCTCGCAGTCTAGATGATAAGTGCACATGTACGTCATTCACCACTGAGCGTTCAAGAAACGATCTCTCAAAACGTTGGAAATGACGAAGTACTGTAAAAACTAGCTAACGGACGGCTTCGTCTGAAGTACTGTGAAAGTTCTGCCAAACTAATACTGTTGGATGTGGTGAAATTTTTGCTTCCTTTTAGTTTATTGTTCCAGGAATACTTTTATTACCCGTCTTCATAACTATAATTCTCTCATTGTGTGTCAAAGACCGCTTTTCCCCGAAAAGAGGATAAATGATCTACAACTAAAAACAAGAGATAAAAAAACTGTAACATAAAAATTAGTTGTCGTCATAAAAACTGATAAGTACTTCACTAAACGACTAGTCCTCTAGCAACATTTTGGTTTCGCATATAGATAAATTTTACGGGTCCATGAAGAACTGAAAAATTTAGACTCAAAGTAAGTGTGAGGAACTCTAACAATGAAAAATCAAGAAGCTAAGGGAAGTGCAGCAGTCAAATGCATCTCCAAACCAAATTTGTTTTTCTATCTGTAAATCTTATTTACCAGGTAGGAAACACGCACATCTAGACATCGAGTCCGAACGGTACATCAAGCCTTTACCCCCAACAGCAGATACCTGGATACTGTGCTTTTTTCCAGCGCTACAAAGCAGAAAATTAAAATAATGAAAGCCAGCGAACATACGAAAAGGAAAAAGAACAGAACTTCTATCAAGCTGTCTTACTTTACGGAACTACAGTGAACGGTTCCAAAAACTAATGGTACTCGTTTTAACTGGGGATATCGCGTGCGCCTAAGAGCGGAACCCCGTCCGAAATTGGGCGAGTCTTCCATCTCCTTACGCACAGCGCTGTGCCGGTTTTAAGTGAAAGGGACCTTCTGCACAAGCATCGGTGCTGCATGTTTGCAGAAACGCTTTTAAACTCATCCTCAAACACATCAGGTAGAGGGTTCAATTTCAACGCTAAATTATGGCTTAGGAAGACTAATGGGCAAGTTAGAAATTTTAGAAATAGTGAAGAATTTTCAGCTGGTTAATACATATAAACAAAAAAGAAAAAAGGATGAGAAAAATAAACAGAAATTTGTTCATTTGTTCATATGGAGACTTTGATGGAATGCAGTTACAGAGAACTGCTACGAATGATGAATTCAAAATCAGGTAAAGAGTTCGAGTTGTAGTTAGATCCTCCAGAACTTTGTTGTACAGAGTGGGCTTGATAGCCTTATAGAAGTGATATAGTTTTAGAGGAACGTAAAGAGGGTAACAAAAAGAGGCTTAATTGTAAGGAGAGAATATGTAGGAAAAAGCGGTTACTGTGCCGCGACTTTTTTTAGTAATGGTCGCTCAAATAGTGAAGGAATATTTGAACTGTCATATTTTCCGAAAGACTCTAACTTATAGCCAGATTGCTCGCGAGCTATAGAGAGATAATAGTACTAATTTGTCTAATGCCATCGTCGTCGACTGCATGAACTTTTTTAGGGGTATTCATTACTTATAACTGATTAGTAATCCATGTCGAATGATCTATGTAGGAAAGAGTCCTGAGACTGAACAGACAGTTATTGGTTAGGTATAACAGAAGATACGACAGAACGGAAGCTGTTCATGAGCAATGGTTGTTTGGTGGTGCGGAGCGAAAATAACTTTTTTTTTTTTTTGATATCGATGGAAGATCGTGATACAAACGTGCTGCTGCTGATTACTGAAAAATATGTATCACCTTGGAAAGCATTGGTGCCCTACTTATGAGCAGTCTACAATACCATACAAAATCTGTTTGAAGCTTACACCCATGCGACAACCAATTATTTCCTAAACTTTCTGCGTTCAGACAATGCGGCTTTCACTAATACAGCAGAATCTACTCGGCAAAAGTTTAAATTAGGACGCAAAAAGCGTTTCACGCTCAACGAGACACTCCGTTAATTTACGCAACAAAATATTTGTGAAAGAAGACATTTAAAGGGCTACGTTTTTATAATCTGTAGAGTCAAATGGTAGAGGTGTATTTAGTAACAAATCTATCTCCACCTTGACCTCAAAATTTGTTTCAAACTCTCATTTACATCCTTCACCATTTCAGCTTTGGAGTCATCATTTCTGCTATCATTCAATTTGTTTTCCTCCTGTTTTATTTTGTACTTTACTTATATGAAAAAAAGGTTTCACTTTCTATAAAACCGCAAATAAATAAACATGATACTGCCTTCTTCAGGAAGCAGTACAGCAATTGGCATTATCAACTATATACTATGTATCGCAATGCATCTCCAATTTGGTGTGAAATTTTTTGGCAGCAAAATACCACTTATTGGCGTCGTCATCCACAATTTGTGTTAAAATTTAAATTTTTTGGGAACAGAGGAGCCTTCTTCTGGAGGAGCTCCAGCGGTATTGGCTGAATGCCACTGTGTTATAAAGAGGAAGTCGGAGGTTATCCAGCTGACCTCTGTAAAGGTATACTAAGCTTTTATTGTGGTTGTGTACATGATTTATTATCAATGCCAATTCGTTAACGGATGTTTAAACTCTTTGCATTCCAATTTCTTCTCTCTTCCGTCCATTGTCTGTCGAGATATTAGCAGAAATGTGACAAGATTTTTATTTGTAACAGATACTTTATACATAGGGGGATCCATTCCTAAATTGGTGTGGAAATTTTTGCTGGCAAAAATCATTTCTTCTAAAGAAGCTTCAACGGTTTTGACTCAGTGCCACTGTGTTATACAGAGGCACCCGGAATTTATGCGATCGATCTCTGTAAAGGTGTGCTGAAACTTCTGTGTCATATGTCTGAAGTGTTATTAATAACGCGATGTTTACTGGTGTTTTACCTCTTTGTTTTCCTAACTTTTTTCTTTTTTACCTTTTTCTCGCTAAGTTTTTAGCGGAAATTTGACAGGGTTTTCATCATGAATACACATCTTTTAACATGTCTTTTTTATAACTCAATTCACTTTGCGGAAACATGTTTTTTTTCTTTGATGTAGTCAAAGAGGAGTTTGAAAATGTGTAAAAAAAGACAAGGTACCCCGACAGCTGAGTGAAAAAAACAGTTTTAAATGAGGAACTCAAGAACTGCAGTTCTCTATCGAATGGGAAAACATTGAAAAAGAATAGTTGAAGAATAAGTTCAAAAAAAAAAAAGACAAATGACGAAGGAAAGTCAGCGTTTATTATTTTTTTAATACTCTCCGTAGAAACAGTTCACTTGATAGTTCACTTCTCTACAGAAGTTTAGGCAAAAACGTGGAGGTACTTTATGGACATAAAAAAGCCCACTTCTAGTCCTTCTTTATGTATGTCAGACGTGATACGGTAATGTTTTTTGCTGACTGTTGAACGCTGGATTAAGTGTAAACCAAGGTGTTTTCAACTGACTTATCCTGGGAGTTCTGAGACTGCTTTGGGGTTATTTTGCTTTTCATATTTGTGAACTACATAATCTGTTGTTGAGTTGTACGAGTCGTACTGGAACCTAGCACTCCTGCTGAGTTATTTGCTGGAACATGATTCAAAGGTTGACAGTTCTTCCCTTAATTTATACTTCTTTTTTTAACAGCAATTTCGTGCTGTACGCAAAAGTTCAGCAAGCAGCACATAGCCACAACTACTGAAAGCACAATAATAGCAAATTCTTTACCGATACTTCATCTATGTCAAATATTATGCGAAAAAAATTAGTTAATTACGCAAAGAAGCAACGTGTCTGATTTTAGAAATAGTAAGTTTTCAAAAAAACTAGTACAATTACGGCATTAAAATATTTTACTTATGTTAAAAACACATTCCATGGAATCTGTATGTAAAACAGAAAGGCTCCGTCATCAACAAACCCGATTCTTAAGTACAAGCAACAAAACTAGCGGTAATGGAAACTAATCCTAACGTCAAATTCCAGCGAATATCTGGACGACGGCCGCAAAGACCAATTTAAGGCAGGAAGAAACAGGTAGATATCAGTCTGGAGAAATCAAAGATTTCAAAAAATCTGCAATTTTCTAACAATAAGCTAAACACGTGTTCCCTATTCCTTACTTTTCCTGGAACATCATGTGTTCACCGGCCAAAATTGCTGTTGCACGTGTCTTGCTTTTCCGCAAAAGAGTGGAGGTTCATTAGTTAAGTGTCCAAAAGGTTGAAGAAACAAAAACCATAAAAACTATTTACACTTACAAAGGCAAGCAACTTTCTTTGATGCACTGCAAAAAGCAATTCTAAAGAATTCAGAGGCAGTGCAAGAAATTTTTTTACCGTTGCAACCTCATCAGCTTGTTTAAATTCTGTGGCCCTGAACTGATAATGACAGTTAACTCACTGAACTTCCTTAGGTAGTGTGCAGAATGAACTTAACCAACACGTTATTCCTTTATACATATATTCATATACGATTCAAAATTAAAAATCTGCAGAGCGTATAACAGCCTGTAGTTAACGCTCACTAACGATTTACAGCAAACCAGTGAAATTTCATTTGAATGGTTATAAGGAACAATGACCACAGCGCGCAATAAACGTTGCACGAAACCTGGATAAACAACAACAAGTCGTCAAGAGAACAAGCTGTACTAGTTGTGTAAAAATTAGCACCTCCTTGCAACTAAAGATAGAGAACATGAAAGTTTAGGGCGAACCAAAGACTGATTGTCAACTGTTCAAGGCTAATAAATTACAAATGCTCGAACTACCAAACTGCTAAACTACTACTACGACAACCAACTTCCAAAATCTTAAAACTAAGAAAGAATAACACACCTGAGAATCACGTGGTCGATAACTGACATCCCTATCCAGCTAACCAAAATCTCTTTTTAACAGCTACTTAAAAAGCTCACCCCCCTAGAAGTTATACTATTTACATACAGCAGACGTACCTCACTCCAGGAGCAGATGATAAGTTGCTACAGCAATTCTAACACAAGAATAAAGGATCTTATTAAATCCTAAGTATTAAAGCAACTTTCTGAATGACTGTAAGCATAAAACTAATGCAGCATACATAGAGCGCAATAGAAATTAACAAATATCTTTACAAAAATTTGGACAGTAAAAGTAAAACTTTGAAATAAATTTGACAGTTTCTTTAGCCTTGAAGGATAAACAACTTAATAGAACTAATTGTAAAAAATTCCAATAAAATCTCTGCCTACAAAACCTAGCACACATTACATTAGATCATGATGAGATCACAAAAAATCTAATAACAAATGTAAAACAACACGCAGCTGTGTGTGACAGTTTCTACAAAACAAACAGAAATAATTTGCTATTCAAACGCAGTGAAAATAAGTAATCAAGGAGAAAATGATTAATATCACAGCAAGAGGTCAACTCAATACCCGAGATTATAAAGCTTGAGTTCATTCGAGCAAGGAAAAACAACTACACAAGCCCCAACTTCATGAGGAAAAGATAAATTTTCGAGCAATTCAATTTAAATTGTGGATTTAAAAGAGCACATTATAAAAGTACTTACCCTAATGACTTGTCATGAAATTTCCACACCTTAAAATCAGAAAATGTAAGCTAAAACGGAAACTTAATTTTAAGCAACTGAATTATTTTTTTTTCTTTTTAGACAAATCTGGTTAACTTTGCCCAAAAATGTAATAAAACTAAGAAATTAAGAATTAATGCGCAAAAATTGCTAAATTCCTGAGTTGTCAAAAAAGCAAGATCTTTACAAAGTTAGGAAGACAAGACTACAACTAGACAAGAAAAAAAACTGTCCTTTCAAGCAGGTCTTCTACAGTAAACTCAGCCAAGTAATTGTCTTTCTACATCAGCAGCCATGTCATCAAAATCTGAACCAGACTCTGCCACTGAGCTTTCCTCATCTTCACTATGAGATCCTGCCGAGTCATCATCTTCTCCAACCTTCCTTCTTTTTTCTTCACTATTTTCCTTCTCCAATGACTTCCTTTTCCCTCGGACTTGCCGCCTTACTTCTGAATTTAAATCGGGTTCTTCTTCATCTTCTGACCCATCTTCAGATAGAGCCTCATCAACCTCAAACAACGTATTAAAAGTCAAACGCACCACCCAATAACTATAACAGTTCAAGAACTTGACAATAATATAAGAAGAGCAATAATTTTACTTCGTCAGACATGCGGCGCAAGGTCTTTTGGTCCAAAGCACCAATTGAGAAGTCGCCGACAATAACGGTACCTCCTAACGGCTTTTCAGCGACATTCATAGTCTCTCTGGCTAACTCGTACCCGGTTTCATCGACCTGAACAGATGCCGGAAAAATTTAGTCAAAACTAGTTTTTATTCCTTACTTTTTTTCGGAGGACGACGAAGAAAAACTCCATATGACAATCCCATTATTATGTAATTTAACACAGAATACTGACATTCACCATTCAAATCTGCTTTGTCTCATTTTTTGCTAGTCTTTGACTTAACAAAGCTCATTCTGTACCAACTTCGCAATGTTACATCACCGCTTATTTACTAAGCGTCTCAGAAACTTCCAGTTAACAAAATTAATCCACAACTTGTCAGGATGAAAAAAGATATACTAGGATTTCACTAGTATGAAGCGATACTTGTTGCACAAATCAGGAACTAACTCTTTCAGCTGAATTTAAAAAATAAAACCTTCACTTTCAAAGACAGTACTATCAAATCTTTCAACTGAAGTCTCAAAAATTTTAAACTGTGATGTACTATAGTTAGTATGCGAACTTTAACTTTATAAAAATCAGTGAGTAACTGACTTTATCACTTTTAAAGGCAGTAACACAAGTTTTTAAGCAACATATTTTAACGATGAAAAACCCTCTAAGTCAAACAACTCATTTGAAATTTAAGTTACTACCAAATCTCAATAATAGTGCCAACGAGAGGAGGCAGACGTAAACTAAAGTAAAATAGCCTTTTAAGGTAATTCCCAGTAAAGACTATATTGAAGCTGTCTCCCAGAGCAAACTACTTCCCAACTAAAAATTTCCCTGAAATGGGACTTTACCAAAACCTATCATGAAATCACTTCTGCTTTCCCGTCAAGCAAAAAAATTACGACTGGCTTGGATCAAAATCTAATTATTACGTCCCTGAACAGTCTTGAAAACTTGTGCTTAATACATCAAAAATTAATGCATACCTTTTCCCATTTTTCAATGCAAGCATACAACCACTTGGGATTCACAATAGCAACATTCCCACGTTTCAACGCCTCATGAACTTTGCTATAAAAGTTTTACTACAGTCTGAATATTACTACTAGAAATCTGTTTTGTTATTTGATACCCCAAACCGTTTTGCCTTATCTTGATTTTCCCCTCCCACAAGAAACTTGACACATTTTCCATTGACTTACAAATTAAAAGAAATAAAATATCACTAACGAAGTTCCCCAACGAGCAGCAATTACATGAGTAGTGCCTTCGGTGATGCTATCAGTGACAGTTGCACCAAACTGTACGCATAACCGGAAGGCTTCTGTCCTTTTAGGGTCCACTCCGATAGGGACAATACCACTAAGGACGATCGAACATCCCTCAAGAACTTTGCTACGTAAAGAAGAAACAATTTTTTTGACGTCCTAAAAAAGACAAGACACATAAGAACATTCAGCGCTTCGATAGGACAAGACTTAACTCACTATTCGGTTTGACTGCTAAGCGAGTTTAGGTTCCTAGCAAAAAATCCATCCGCACTTTCTTTATTTTTAATTTTGAACTTGTTCTTTCCAAATATGAAATCCAGCATATCTCGATGAAAAGCAAAACTACTCACTTTTCATAAAATTTCACGATTTTAAAGACTGCTAAAAACGCAGAAAGCTCGCTAGCATTCCAGCTCTTATCATCACTTAAGGAAGAAAGTAAGAAAGTTAAAAGATTTAAATTCCTGCAGATCTTTTTCGCTAACCTATATTTTCGCTTGAGCCACAACTTCTCTATAATACCTATTCCTAAAAAGCGTAAGTTACCAAGTACTTCCCCTAACATCCTAACTCCACCAATGTCTATGTAATCTCTAGCCAACTCATTCTCCATGGGAGAAAAATTTGAGTGGAACACTCATAGGGAATGAGAATATCAAGATATATTAAAAAGCCTCGCAAACAACAAATTTCAAAAAGATTTTACTTTTGAAACATTCACATAACTTCTTCCTTAAATTAAAGTAGTGTCGATCACAGTCTGATCAGAAGTTATGATATTCTTATTAAAAAAGCTAATTAAAAACCGTTTTTTTGAATTCCCTTTTTGCTCTACTTTGAATCTAGATTTCTTTTATAAATGTCTTCTACACTACTTTATCCACCAATATATCCAGACAGAAAAAGCTGCTTTTTTCCAAACTGATGCGGCTGCATGTGTAATCGCGATGAGAACCAAGTTAAATTTGCACGAGTGTTGCGTAAACGACGCTATTCAAATTAAAGGAAAAATGTCATAATTTTAACTTCTCAAAGTTAGCCAAACCATTACTTACAAAAAATCAGTTATACTTATCTCCATCTCAATCCGAGAAAAAATTTTTGATGAAACTGCGCTCTAAATACAATAAATTGATGTCCCTGAATTTCCCACCTAACATCTTTTTTCGCTGTTTTTTTCTATTCTAATTTTTATGTAATGAAACCTATATACAGACTTCTAAAAACCAGCGACACTGAGACTTTCTCCGTCGAGAAAATTTTTTTTCAATAACCCGCATCAGAAGCAGCAAAATTGTCTTCCTTTGTTTCAACCTTATATCTATTTTCTTTAAAAGAAGAAGACTCTTTTTCCTTACCATTCACTACTTTAAGCCTAAAAGAAATACGATTCGCCACTTCCGTCCCCCTTCATCGCCCCATAAAAACCCTAATCAAATATGGGATTAAAGGTGAGTGATGCGAGCTTACAAAAACCTTGGTTTATTGCCCTGCCGCTCCTCCTTAGTACTAAAAAGGAAAATCAGCGCAACAACCATGCCAAAAGCCAGCCTTATACACCATGAAACTGAGACTATTTACAAGATTTGTACATATCACCATTCCTCAACCTCCTTTGACCCGTCACCCTCTTCTAAGGGGAAGTTTCGCTATTGTCCGTGATAAACGGCTTTCTCCTGTTGCTTGTCAACACTCAGTTCTATGTCGGCTGCCAATCTCACTTCAATCACTTCATTGGAGTTTGCGGAATCAGCCTTAAATCTAAGAGTTTTCAACTACTATTCAAAGTGTTCGCCCCACCTGAAACTTTCAATAACCCTCTCTGAGATTCGCTAGTTTCTATTCCTCTAAAATTCCGCAAAATCACGTAACCTGCTCAACAATAGCCACTGTGTGCTTCTCCGCCTATGTCCCGGTCAACTAAAGACCAAAAAGTGTTTTCCCGCGTGCATCTTGAATGTTTCTGCTAAATACATACTTATGAAAAATACCAATTTTAAAATTTACCACATTTCACTAGAGGACAACCTAATTGTTTGGTCCACAAGACAAGACGAAGGACAACATCTGGAATCATAAATTCCTAATTTTCTAATCTCCGTTTTAAACTGGTCTCTCAAGATCATCAGTTGCAGAAATTTAACAATGAAGAAGTGCGAGATGAGAAAAAACAAAAAAATTGAATTAACTAATTGAACAAAGAACCGCCTCATTTAACCACTCATAAATATCAAGAACCTCCTTACTTTTCTAGTGGGAAAAACTGAAGGGGAGTTTCACAGTTTCCTGAAACTACCAACAATAACCATCTGCACCCTGCAAAACCCTGCCATTACATCTATGTTCCGCTACAAAAATGCAAAGCATAAGCATAAGAAACCGATCTTAAAAAGGTCGAAAGCAGCTAGTGTTCGCTGTAGCTGACACAATAAAATTACTTACAAATGCTAACCCTTACTGAGGTGACCACCTGCAAAAAGCCTATAAGTTATGACCTTCTTAGCGTACTAAAATGCCCACACTATACGGATTCCTTTAAAGAGTAAAGAATACAAAGCACTAAATCGCTTGAGCCCTGGGAAAATAAATATTCGTCACAATTCGTATGTATGATTACCAAAACTTCTTTTGTAGAATCATATTCTTCGTAAAATATACGGTGGACATCAGTAAGCACCCGTGCTAGATAATCCAATGTTTTGTCTTCATTTTCCAACTCGCCAAGTTCCTCAGGGGTATATATATCTGTATCATCCTTCGATTTCAACGGTGCATTTATATCTCCCACCTCTTTGAAAAAACGGTATGGTTTAACCTACAAATAATAATCAGTTTTCTTCAGGTGTATCTCTTGCAATATGCGAAAAATTGTGCATACATCAGAAACTAGCAAAATGAGAGAGCAGTTTTGAAAGGTGAAAAAACAAGAAAACGCTTGTTGATCAGTAATATGATCTCTCAAAACCTTTTTACTTTTTTCAAACCAATTACTACTTGCAGAAAACACCGTGCTGTAGCTGTTATTATAACCGCTAATTTAGCACTGTCCGGTAACTAGAGGAACATGATACTTGAATCAAAGCATCCGAATACTCCCAGACGTCTGGACGGTCGTCTATGATAGCAATAAGCTGATCTCCGCAAGGAAAAAGCAAATTCAGATTGTGCGTTTTGTGAAAAGCACTTAAAAGTTCATCGCGCGATAAAATTCCTAAACTGTTTTTTATCTAAAAATGATAATCGAAGAACTTTATATCATCAAAAAAACTTTCTCTATCCAACTTTTCACAAACTCTCGGTAGGTCATCCGGTCTAACTTGAAAAAAAATAGTAGAAAATAAATTACCCATAAGGCGAAATAAAGCAAGCGAGAAAGCAATTAGGAAAATTGTAGAAAAATAATACCTTTATGCAAGTATTAATAAAGGCATTCTATTTGAAGCATCAAAGTTAGCACATGTTATAAGAGTGGGCACTCAAAAAATTTACCAAGTAACATAAAGAACTATAACTGTTACTTCTTCCGATATAAGTTATGGCTTGAAAAAAGTGGATCACCTTACGGTGATTTTCAGGGAATTTGCTGATTTCGTTCAGCAAATGTAAGCTCTACAAGACTAGCTACCAACTGCATAATACAATGGTGGCGCATTGTAATGGCCAGACTTAATACTTATAACTGTACATAAACGACCTCCCGTCTATCAGGTCATCAGTGTGCTTTACTGGCTTAATATAAAGGTTGTTTGTGGCGTGCCCTCTCTCAGATGCACTGCTAACAGCCGACCTTTTTTCAGTTACAGTGATATTTTCAACAACTGCGCATAACTACACCATTTTACCAAAAAGAGAAGACCATGAGAAACTTCATTAAGAAAAATTAAATTTCTTCCAAAAATCCATCAGTAAATGTAAATATTAAATGAAGAATGAAACTCCGTAACGAATAAAGAAAAGAGGAAAGAAACAGTAAAGGCTTACTGTGGCCGAAGTAAATTTTGTCAGGGTCTAGGATTTCCGCAATCCTGTGTGCATACTGACGCTCACCATAGCTGATTATGTGCATTTCAAATAGTGCGCTTATCCTTTCCAGAAATTCTCGTGTGTGCGGCCGTAATTTAGTGAAAAAATCAATTCCTCTCAGTTTATAATGAACTACATCCTACACAAAAGAAGAATACAAATCCTGAAGTTCAAACACCTGAAAGCATTATAACATATAAAAAATCACCGAGACTTTCTCCGTATGAAAGTTATTGGTGGTGTGAATTAGAGTTTGGTCGAGGTCAACCAAAAGCACTAGTTTCTTGCCCTTCAGTACAACCTCTCTATCCCGATTACCAATCTTTTGCGCAAGCTAAAATGTGCTAATAGAACTTCAAAGAATGTCGAGTAGAAAAGAAAACTAAAAATGATTACTCCAACAGATATCATAATATTTTCAATCAACCTACAAAGAAACTAAAACTAAGTAAAACTGTTCCAAAAATTTCCAGTGGTTTTAGGCGTGAATAGAGCAAGCTGAAGTTGATGGGTCACTATATTTGTTACATCGCCAGGTAATAACTTTAATAGTTTTCTATAATAACCTCATTAGAAACAATTAATTCTGGCACATGATGGATCATAGATATATTAGCACTGCTCGCTTCTGCTCTTTCACCAGCTCGACCATCTTTCCTACAAACAAGGGCCATGTCAGTTACTTGACAACACAGTATGTCTCTTGTTTCAGGCTCAGTAAAACTATAAAAGTAAAAAGATCAAAAAAATTACACCGAATTCCCCTCAGCATCCCACTCACTCATCTCACAGATAGAAAACTGTAACCACAACAAACAATAAAAAAGAGGCCAACTAAGTTAGATTTTTAAGCTCAGTAGCAATTATTTCCGAGAAGCTGCGATAGAAAAAGAAATCCGCATCTTTCAAGAAAGAAAACGAAGACAGAAGAGAACAAAAAAAGGCAGAAGATTCTCTGCTAAACCCTTAACGGGAACTTCCACTTGCAAAAAACTTGAACCTCACTCTCTTAAATCTTTTCCACAGGTGCCACACATATCCTTCATTACAATAGCATGCTTACAATCATTTAAGAAAGCCATAACGTAATCAGTACCCAGTACCTGAAACAGCCATTAAGCATGTGGACCGATAAGACATTGTATCAAATAACTATTATTTTACTTAATTATTAATCCACTGAAAACCTACCCTTCCCTTTTTAACTTCAGGATCTATGTTAATAACACCAGCTGATGGACTTTTCAGCTTATTCTCCTCGCCAGACGCGTTTTTATAGCTTAAAATAACAGTACCGTTCTTTACATACGCCCCATCAGAGACCTTCCACTCCAGAAATTCACAGTTATCACACTTAAAGCATATGTTTACCACCGCAGGTTCCAACGACATGGATTATGACGGCTTCCTGAATCCTGCGTACCTAAAGAACTAAATACTCAATTTACAAATGAGGAACAATAACAATAGGACTCCACTAAAGAACAACTCCAAAACGAAACAAGTAAATGAGGACGAAATGAAGAAACAAAACAAACGTGAAAACGATCGAAACGGAGAAAAAGTGCATTTATTTGATACTCATAGCTCTCCTTTATATAAAAAAAAAAAAAAAAAAAAAAAAA